GATTTGACACTTTTATTGTCACAGCAGAGCGCTCAGCCATTTCGCATCGTGAATACTAATGTGTGTCCAAGCAATGGCAAAGGCAAAGGCAAAGAACCGTATGAGAATCATGAGGCACAGACCGGGAATCAGACCGATGTGGCAATGCTAGTTAAGTAGCAATACCCCTCACACATCTATAAACTTTCAGATAACAGTTCTATTAAGTGATTGTCTTAAATGTTGTGCCATAACTTTCCTTTTGACTAATACAAGTGCAAACCAGATTGGCAGCATGGCCTTTGGGGGAAATAAAAACACACTTGTAAGTGACAACAGAAAATGTTTAAATCATAGAATTAAAAAAAAAAGTCTTAATCTATACAGTGAGCTAATTGATGGTAGGAGAGCAGTGAGCTTGTGTGTCATGGAGGGGGAAAAAAACAAGCTTGATTTAAATTTAGATTTGAGATTATTTTTAGAAGGAAGTTAGTCATTGTGAAAAGTAGCAGATTGAGGGAAAGGGCGTTATTTATTCACTGATTTAACTGACTGGTCTACCTATCAGGAGGTACTGAGGTCATGGCAGACTTTAGCCCATGAACCAGCTTAGAACACTGGGCAGAATGTGACTAAGATGGAACAAAGTGAAAACTTTGTCAAGTTATTGCAACAATCATGCTTTCTTTTCCAAGTTGTGTGTAATTAAGGCCATCACTGCAGGAGCTGGGTCCCTGCTCCTAAGTGCAGAGACAAGATGGCTCCCTGGAGGGTAACAATGGTAAGGGTTTATTGAACACCCCGGTTAGGTGCCAGATCCTGCACTATCTCCTGTTCCAGGGTGTAGCAACCTTGAACACTCGTCACCCCATGTCAGACAGATGGGCATACAGAGAGCTTCAGAGGAAAGTCAGGTATTGTTGAAAACACCTAGCAAAAGATCTGTGATCATGCCAGTTCCTGTCCTCTCATTTGTCCTGAATATTTATTACTAATGGAGGATACATTTGTTTACGTATGTTTTCTTTGGATGGAACTATCACTGAGATACATCTGTAGCCTGCGTTTTAGTCTTTTTTATTTGCTCCCTCATTTCTTGCTTCTTTAAAGTGTCATATTTATAATTTTGTTCTAAATATGTGATAAGACCCCCTGTCTCATGCATGTGTGGAATGTCACCCATGTTTTACCCACTCATCGGCTGGAGGGCACATTCGTGGCTTCCATAACTTGGCTGTCGTGCAGAACGCTGTGATGAAGGTGGAGAGGGATGCATCCGAGGAAAGACGGATATCAGCACTGGGTGTGTGTCCAGAAGGGCGTATGGATCACAGGGTAGTTCCAGATTTCCTTTAAAATTAAATGGTAGGAAAAGTATTAGAAATGTATTCTCAATGTAATGTAAATGCATGTTGAAGGATAACTGAGATATGGAAAATAAGTATTAAGTCTAAATATCGCGTATTTCTTAAGTCAACCACACAGAACTGTTTAAAGATGGGTACTTCTATTTCTCAGTGAAATAAGAACCTATTTAAAAGCATGTTCACTTAAAGATATGTACCAACAATGACAAGTCTAAATGCTCATTGCTCTGTGTGCACTATAGAACTTTAAAGAAATAGCAACTTCAGTAGAAATCCTCAATGATTAGAACTAGTTGCAATTTGTTTCAACAAAAGACTAAAAGAAATCTGTATATGTAAACATCAGGATTGTAATGTTGACTGAAATAACTTAATAATCTAATAAATAGCTTCATATTTATTAACTCAGTTTTAAAAATCAGATGAACTAAATTCCTGCCAGTGGAGGCTGGTTGTTGTGCAACCTGGCCTTTCTGCGCTGTATAGTTTATCTCTCCAAAAGGCGTGTGAGACTATTGTCAAAGACCATTTAGCAGTTTTCTCTGCCATATATTTCAACTTTCAATAAACATTCTTTTTAATTATGCTATTTAAGTTTGTCTTTTACTAGCAATCTAATGAAATACAGAACAAACTTGACCACAGCCTACTCTGTTTTCCATATTACATAATGAACACCTTATAAATTAACTTTACTGCTCTAGAATGCCTTTTACAACTTGAAAACACAAGTATGGTTATCTGTTCAGAGGCACATTGTAGCAGAATGAGACTTTCGGAGGCAAGAGCACACAAAAAGCTAAAAGCAACCTATTTTTTTTTTTTTACACCAAACCCATGCCAGTAAAACATAGGGGTAAAAATAGGTCCAAGGCAAGTGGCAATGACTTGCAAAATCTAAACTATAGTACACGGTGGACATAGAAATGGTATGTTGGAAAAGGAACACTTGATAATAATTATTTTCTGCTATGTCTCCTTTCCCTACATTATCCTAACTTTATTTCTTCTGTTGTGCAGTAGGAATCATCTCCTTACCAATTTGGGTCAGTTGTCTGATGTTAATCATTTGAATGCAGTCGAAACAAGTTTTGATAAAGAAGGCTATCTTTTGCCATCTCTTGCTTCTCAATGGGAAGAAAACCCATTGCCAGATCAAACTTCCTCCTCCTGTTCTTGCTGAAAACCTGGGTTGGTCCAGGAGATAATAGAGGATCATTAATGTGTAGCTAAAACATTTCTGGGGTTTTCCATTCTTTCTTGCAGTATAATTGTTCATCTTTCTTTTTCAAATGAGTTCTATGAAGGTTTTAGAGACTCTTGATAGAACATTTTGAGGACATGTAATATTCATAAATTATATGCTTTTACCTAGAAACAATTTTTAGAAAATAACATGCACGGTCTGTGAGAAAACAAAACTCCTTCTTGTACTTTCAGAAGTTTCCTATGAGATAATAATAGGTCAGCGAGATTCCTTTCCCCCACCCCCCTACCTTCCACAAGTCAATCGCAAGGGCACTTTCAGGAAATTTTTGTCATTGTATGTTGTTGTTGATGAACTCTTTAAGTCCAAACTTTTGGAGCTAATGATAAACACCATATATGTATATATGTATGTGTGTGTGTGTGTGTATATATATATATGCATGCAAATATATATGCATATATATACTATCTCATGTATATACGATATCTTATATATTTATATATTTTATAAATATTTCTAGATATTTGTAAATATATGATGTTTATATATTTTATAAGCATATGTTTATAAATATATATGATATTTTACATATTTTACATCACTTTTCATTTCATTCCGTGTGTGCTTTCTCATCCCTGTTGCAGACCCCGAAGGCGCCCCCAGCTCACCCGAGCACCATCCCCACGTCCCTTGTGCGGGCGCTCCCCGTGGTCTTGCGCCCCTGCGGCAGAATGCCTCCGGTTTACAGTTGCCTACTGACTTTGATATTGACCTTACTATGACCATTCTTCTTCCCCCCCGATTCCATATTTGGGTCTCCTACATGCCTCTAAGAGTGAAACCATCCACCCTGCGGTATTTTGCTTTTTTTTTTTTCTGGTTTATTTCACTAAGCATGACCCCTTCCTGCTCCATCCATTAATGATAAACAGCTTCAGAATACTATGACTGCCCACGGGGATTACAACTGAGATGAAAACATGCACCAAGTGATGTAAAAATAAACTATGATGTTACTAAAAAAAGAATACTATGGTTTTGACTTTATGAAATATGTTTTATTTTCACATTAACATAGAAGCTATTTTTTAGTCTGTTCTTAACGGGAAAGAAGCCCACACCCTCAAAAAAAAATTTTTTTTTTTTTTGAAAAAGCAGCAAACCGCAGGATATGATAGAATTAAAAGGAGGGAAAGGCGAGAAGATAGAGAAAGGGCCGGGTAGGTTCTGCAGTTAAGGGGCCGTGAAAGCTGACCGTAGGCCCAGGCCCTGGGCTGAGAGCAGACACAGGAATGCCAGGTCCTCGCGAAGTCCAGTCAGCGAGCTCCGCCCCCTTAGCGGCCGGGCAACCTGAGCCAACTCTGTGGCTTCTGCCTGCGGAACTGTGGGCGGGTAGGAGTCCGTCACGGGGTTAGCGCGGCTCACGCATCACCTGGTCTGACGCAGCCTGTGTGCTCTGAAGCTGTAAATAATTATTTTATGCTGGGTATTTTTTTTTAAAGATTTATTTATTTGTACATACAGAACTGGGGTACAGGCCAGAGGCTCAGGGGCGGCGAGAGGCTTCACCAGAGACAGAGCGGGGAGCAGAACAGGCAGATGGACGAAGTACACTGCTGAGGGGAGCAGCGGGCGGGTCAGGAGAGGTCTGCCGCGCCATGTGGTCACCTCCGGGGCAGGCAGGGATCGAACTCATGCGAAAGTGGCTTTAGCTTCTCAGTGCTGTGCTTTAACCCGCTGCGCCACCAGGGAGGGCCATATGCTGGCTATTAACTTGATCTTTAGATTATTCTTTGGAAAACTGGCACTACAGAAATGTTAGGCATTCAGACGACCCTCCTGGTTTAATGGTGAGCCCCTGGAAGGCTGCTGTTCATAGCTGGCAGCTTGCCCAACCAGCAACAGCTGCTTACCCCTTAGGAGACGCGTGTCAGATGCAATGCGCTCGAAAACCTATTTTACGCTGATCAGGTGATTTTTAGAGCAACATGGTTACCCTCTGCACAGAGACCAGTGTGCAGGAGCAAATTAGGTGAAAAAAAAAAAAAAGTGAGTCGTGCCGGGTGTGTTCGAACATCAAGTCGCATCAAACTGCCGGGGATTCTGAGCTCTGCTCCAGCTTCTACTCAAGCCAGCGCGCAACCTGCTCCTTGGCGTTCTTCTCCATCAGGTGTGGAGACCTTGGCGTTCTTCTCCATCAGGTGTGGGGAGGCCGATTCCTGTGGGAGAGAGAGGGGGCAGTAAAATGGGGGCAGGGCCTCGGATGCCCACGCCCCCACAACTGTAAAATACAGGAATAATCTGGAAATCTGGCTAACAAAGTAGGTTTTGAATAAATGAGACTGAGCTGGGCCCCGGCCAGCGTGTCCAAGATGGCGGCTGGTGCCGAGCGAGGCTGGTGCGTGCCGGGTACACCCTGGGCGGTGAGGTTGGGGCGGGGTGGATGGACTGATCCCCAGGGGCATCAACACCTACACAGACCCCAGGGCTTTCCTGGTAAGACATCGATGAGGAGGAAATCCTCTAGAAGTGCAAGTTCGGCTCTCATGGAAAATGGCCCGACAATGACCGCACGAACGTGAGCCTTTGCGGGCTGTTCTGCGCAGAACGAGGAGCGCACCAGCGGCGTCCTGGGGTCACGCACAGCATTGCGAACAGGAAAGAAAGCAGGTGTGAGTCACGTCTTTCACAAAGTGTGAGTATTGCTCTTCTAAAGCCTCACTTTTGGCAAGACAAGGAAGAGTCCAAAAAACAGGAGAAATGACTTCTGAACACATAATGGACAGCGAGGGCAGTTTATCCCCACATGATTGTTCTTGGGGAGCTACTCCATAAATGGCACAGAGGAGCCTGTTCGTTCGACATCACTGGGTAGATTCAAACACTGGGCGATGCTGAAAGCTTTACAATGTGAGCGGTAGGAGCCCGTCGGCACCTTGACGGAAAGCGAAGCGCCTCCTAGCTTCCCAGGTACAGAGGGCAGAGAAAGCAACCTTGGGCCTTGCTAAGAATTGGCAGATGTAGGACTTCTGCGCACATATATAAAAGTAAATGTTCTAGTTGTAATATCAAAATGTCCTTCCTGATATGAAAGGGGGGTTTGTTTATTTACCACCAACATGTCCTCGTGTGAAAACTTGAAAATCAGCACGATGTGGAACACAGTCCACCTGTTGGCAGACCCTGGCATTGTATTTGTTAAGCCACTGGCCTCACTTCTCATGATAAGCTACAGGAAACCATAAGGTTTCCCTCAGGGCCCTCATCACTACCAATAAACATACACATTAGTTAAGTGTCACTATATCCTAGGCATGGTTACACTGCTTATCATTTCTCTGAAGGAACCCCCACGCCCCAGGGGGTAAGGAAGACATTTAATGAGCTCAAATGCAAAACACCAGCCAAATTTGACAGTGTTGCTGAGAAGTCAGGGTATGGAGAGATGGGTCAGTTTGAGAGCAGATGCTATGACAGAAATTTCATGCAAAGGTGGGTTTCAATAAGAGAAAGCAAGCACTTTCACTAAGGAAGCGAGCACTTTCACTAGAGAAGCCAGAACTTTCACCAGGAAACAGACATTGATAGCAGGTCTCCTAGACCCTGAACTCTAAGCAACTACATATATTTTTACCTAACTTTCAAATATGCAAAACCAAAAATTCAGATCATGAAAAAACAGCATAGCATGAATTGCCTTATTTAACGGAAGATTTTCTTAAAAATTAATTTTACAAATGCTAGATGTGACTTTAAGAAACTCGCAGTGGTTATAAGAATTAGATTAGGAAGGAAAAATACTGGATGGTTTCTCTCATAGCAGGAATATAACAGGCGAGAAAATAATGATAATGATGAACAGCTATATCCCAGAGACATTTTGTGGGTGTGGAGTGGGGAATGGGATCAAAAACAGTGGGGGATGGGAAATGCGCTGGACTATGGTGATGGCACATGGGTGATTTGGTGATGGGAAACCCAAGGGGATTGCAACTGAGATGGAAAAATGCACAAAAATATGTAAAAATAAACCATTATAAAATTAAAATGTCAAAAAAAGAATTAGCAAGATTTATATCAGCAAAAATACAATAAAATTTGAAAAAAATAGGTTTTAGGTTAACGCATAATGTTATTTAAAATATTTTACAAAGAACAGTTTTTAAATGTCATATGGATACTAATATATTTAATGATTTACTTCTGGTCATTAAGCATTTTTTTTTCTAAAATGATGTATGGTTATATTCATATCATGATATTGATTCTTCTTATTCAGTTGTGATGCTTGAGGGACATTCTACAATGAAATTACTTAAATACTTGGCTTTCCCACCCATGTACTGTTACTTCTTTGCAATCAGACACCAGGATGTTTGGTTTAGCTATTTTCAACACAGGTCACACACATTGGTGCTTGGTGGGGATTCAGGCATCTTTGCAAATTGATCAACTGATTCTGCTATTCATTTTTGGGTGATCCATTCCTACCTCTTCACATGCGCTGTCCCAAACTCCTAAAGGCCAAAATGATTTAAACAAATGCAAAAGCAAGAAGTTATGGTCAAAGGGCATATTTTTATTAATTCTCATACACACACACACAAAATACATTGAGGAGATTTTGAGGGTTTTTTTTTTTTTTTCTTTGAAAGGGGTTTCAGATTTCTGTAACATGGTCCAGGAGACTTCGCAATGCAGCCAGAAAGTTGAGCACATTTTAATACAGTGATTTTATGAGTTTGTATTCCCAAGAGGTCTAACTCCTGCCTGAAGTGAAATTAGATAAAAGAGGGCCCACTGGAAATTTCACAAAGGCTTGAGAAACAGAAAATTTAGGCTGGCATTTGTCTTTCAAGTGCACAAGGTCACCAAACTCTGTCTGTTCCTCAGGAAAAGGACCTTGGGTCTCTGGCCACACACACACATGTGTAGCCAGCTCCTCAAGGCACACACAACATCCATCATAATAGTACAGCAGTGCTAAGATGCACACACATACACTGTGAGTTTACACCAGTGTGCTGTATATGTAAAACATGAATCACAGAGCTGGTATTCATTAGATGACTCGTTACTTCATTAAAGAGATAAATGAACCCAACCCCTGTCTTTTAAGCAGCATGCTAAACACACTGAACAGAGTGGATACATTTATGAAGAGACACAAATCATATTATTTCAATTCAGGGAAATAGTGGGGAAAGAGCGAAAAAGGATTGTTTTAAAAAAAATTACTATACTGGCCCTCCCTGGTGGCGCAGTGGGTTAAAGCACAGCACTAAGAAGCTAAAGCCACTTCAGCATGAGTTCGATCCCCACCCGGGAGGTGACCACATGGCGCGGCAGACCTCTCCTGACCCGCCCGCTGCTCCCCTTCATCAGTCAGCCTGTTTTAATCCCCACTCTGTCTCTGGTGAATCCTCTCACGGCCCCTGCACCTCTGGCCTGTACCCCAGTTCTGTATGCAATGATAAATAAATCTTTAAAAAAAATTACTATTAAGATTTAGGGAAGAACCTATTATTAATAGCATTAATCCTATCGTTTTCTGTATTTTTTAAGTTGATTCTCTGTGATTGTATTGCTTCAGAAATCATTTTCATTAAGTGGCATGGAGTGCATTTCCTTCTGCTATAAGTGCATTTTGAAATAAGGGCTGGGCAGGGGGGCTTCCTCCAGGGCCTGAGAAGAGAGTGTCTTTTCTTATTTAATGTCCTTTCTTCCTTTCTAATTGCATATTTACTGCTGCAGTAACAATGGTTCATGATGTTGTAGGTACTTGGGGATGCAGCTCACACGTCTTCAGAAGCGGGTCCCACAACACATGCACCACCGAGCTCCCAGAATCCTCCACCGCAGCTCCCAGAATCCTCCACCGCAGTCCACCGGGCCCTCTCCCCTACTGAACCCCCTCAACCTCCCCCCTCTCATAGCCTCAGTTCTCTAGGAAAACTAGGTTTGATTTGGATTTGGGTATGAGGAGAGAGTGTACGAAGCTGCTCTTTCCCACGGCCTCAGCCCCATGCTTGGTCTTTTGGAAAAGACCAAGATGGATCTCAGGACCCGCACCCCAAAGCGACTCTCGGAAATGCAGTTGCAGGTACAAATGCGAAGTGGAGCCCCCCATTTTTCTCAGGGATTTCAAAATGAAACACATAAGTGAAAATAGTTATAAACTTCTTTTTTATTGACATAAAAGGCACCCCAGTTCTGTCTGCTAAATGAATAAATCTTTAAAAAAAGAAATCTCCAGAGGGCCCTCCCTGGTGGCACCCAGATTAAAGACAGCACTATCAAGCCATCAGCCACTGGGCCTGAGTTCGATCCCCAGCTAGGGAGTGACCCACAGGGTACAACAGACCTCTACTGTCTTTCCCCGGCTCTCCTCAGCATTTCTAGTTCAAAATATTCCAAAAATAAAAAGAACTATATAGTCATAAATATAAATAATATATTTTCTCTCTTGAATTATAATTATGTATCACGATATTTTATAAACATTTTAAGATGTATTTAAAATAGTTGTTCCCATCAACCTGGCTTTATTAAATGAAAAAAAAAAGAGAGAGAGAGAGAGAGAGAGAGAGAATTTAACCAATGTTTATGTTTAAATAAATAACCAACTACGCAAAGTTAAATACCTCCTAAGGGGGAAAAAATGAAATTCAGTCCTGAGGCTCCCAGAGCCAGAGGAAGGAAGCTGATTCTGGGGGAATTGATTGGAAGATCAGAGAGAGTCACCACGCCCATTTCAGTGAGACACAGGTGAGCATCTGTGCTGGGGTGAAGGAGGTACACAGACAATTTCATTTTACAAAAGCTGGAACATTTACATTATATTTAATCTGTCCTCCCCATTGACAGGGTTCGTGTTCATGTTGTTTAAGTTCAAATCTGAAGTGAAACTGCAGCACTGACTTAGAAATCCCTCCCTCTCCAGAGGAAGGAAAGGTGTCTTGAGGCAAAATTCAGGGTAAGCTCACCCCAGCTCAGCACTGTTCCAGAGGAGCATCCTAGGGGTCCCAAGGCACCTCCACACTAGCTTCAGAGGGGCGTCCACACCCGAACGTTGGCTCCAGGTGAACTTCAGCGGTTCTCTGGTACCATGACACAGCCTAACCTGTACTGGCCGCAACTCACCTTTATTCCTTCACAAGAGAATCCAGCTGGGAATCTCATACCCAGCGATAATGACACAGACAGACAAGAAAAAGAA